CTTACACTGGATACACGCACTTGGACCTAAATGCCTCTTACCAGCAAATATTTTAGGATATAAAAATAAATACTATTTGGGGCTGGCCTGGTGGTGTAGTGGTTAAGTTCGCACACTCCACTTTTTGGGGTTTGCAGGTTTGGATCTCAGGTACGGACCTACACACCGCTCATCAAGCCATGCGGTGGCAGCATCCTACATAGAAAATAGAGGAAGATTGGCACAGATGTTAGCTCAGGGCCACTTTTCCTCATAAAAAAATCAATCAATCAATTAATTAATTAAATTAAAATAAATATTACTTGAACAAAATGTCATAAGATTGAGTGGATGGAAGTATACATCGTCAAGTTCCTTACTACTCATTGTTTAACCTTGCTCAAAAGTCTCCTAGGAAATAAATTCTAGTTTTGAAGCTTGTCTTTTGCAACATTGTATTTAGTAGAATTTCCTTCCCACCTACCTTGATCCATCACGGTTCTGCTTCATTTTGCTGTCGTCTGGCAAAGCAATTGCGAGGAACCATTGCTCACATCAAATCTTTTGAAACAGTGTGCACTCCACAAAGTAAAATAAAATTAATAAAAACCTCACCAAACTAGAATTACTATTCCATTCTCTTTGTTGTCTTTAATTTCTAGTTTCATCCTTGCAAACCGTCCGGTCAAATGGGTTGAGGAAGCGTGAGAGACTGCTGGAAAAATGAAACTATACTTATAAGGGCCAAAAGGTAAATTAAACAAAGTAAAACTTAGCGTGCAGAAAGACTGTAGGGATGGTTTGAGTAATCCTGCCAAGTTTTAGTTTGGTTGCAAAGCAATGGAAAATGATGAAAGTTGCATTTCTACCCCGAGTTTTAATAGATCATTAATCGGGGTCAACCAATCCACCATTTTATTAACAACATTTAGATGTGTTATTGAACTACTTGAGATAAAAATGAAAAGTAGCAATATTCACAGCGCTTTGGCTGGAAGAGTTTTTCGTTTTCTTGCTGCTGGTGAAGGAATGTGCAGAAGCCAGTCCCGGCCGTGTCGGAGAGCCCAGAGAGGCGATTTCCAGGCTTGCTTTCAGTCCCTTCACTGCTTTCCGTCTTCCTTGTGTTTTTCAGCAGAAAGAAACATTAAATTGTTTTTTCTACTTCTCACTTCTACTAAAAAACACGTAACGTTTTGGAGACGATAAAATGAAACGCAGAGAAATAGATATTCCTGTAATAAAGATGAGGCCGTATTTGACTCAAAATATTAACGAAGAAAGGCACACCTATTTCTGCTTTTATGTGGTCAAATTGCAGGCCTTCAGCCGTCCAGATTCACACCGGTTTAAGAGATTGCCGTACGCAGAAAAATAAACGCGGCCCCCAAACGCCACAGCAGCGTCTCGTATTCTCTCTCTAGTTTGACAGTCCAAGGAAGCCAAATATTTTCCACTTTATAAAATCTTTAAAACCACCAGGGGAGATGTGCTGGCATTGTCGATGCTGGAGCCGAAAGCGCCTCAGCTAACCACATGGAAAAAGCATACGGAGACCAGATTTTTCCAGGCCATAATTCAGCGGGAGCTGGGGCCTCGCTTCCAGCACCAGAAGTCTTAGGAGGTGACTGGCAACTTCACAAGAGGCCAAAGTTTTCAAATTGGATGAAGGATGAGGGTAGGGAGGACAAACCTCATTTACAGCAGCGATTAGGCTTTTTCCTGTCATTTCTTCCCCACTTAAAATGGCACTAACGCGATTTTGTGTTGACTAAGAAAAATAATATGATGTGAGTTTTCTCTGTAGGCGCCATTTATTTGGATAAGAACCTTCCGAAGAGAAAAAGATAGTACCTCACAGCTGAGTTTGGATTTTGTTAAAAAAAAAAAATCTAGGTCCGTCGTTCGTTCAAACCTTCATGAATTTGTTGACAAAGTCAACAAACACTGATTGTATCCCTATTCGAATGTTCCTGATGGAGACAGTGTATCAGAGCCAATTAGGAGCCTAATTCTGGAGTCAGGCTTCCTGGGTTCAAATCGGAGTTCCACCAGTTATCAACTGGGGCCCCTGGGGAATGTCTCTCAACCTTTCTGAGTCTCTGTCTCCTCATCCATGTGGTAAGAAGACTAATAGTAATCGTGTCATGGATTCATGTTCCTGGCACTATTAGGCAGAAAACACAGGGATAAGTGATTCTGTTCACTAATAGCTACTCTTTTTTTTTTTTTGGTGAGGAAGATTAGCCCTGAGCTAACATCTGTGCCAGTCTTCCTCTATTTTGTATGTGGGATGTAGCCACAGCATGGCTTGAAGAGTGAGATGTAGGTCCATGCCCAGGATCCGAACCTGTGAACCCTGGGCTGCTGAAACAGAACGTGTGAACTTAACCACTGTGCCACCAGGCCAGCCCCACTAACAGCTACTCTTGTTGCTAAAATTCACGGCTCTGTAGAGAATGTACACAGTAAAGGCCCTCATGCAGTGCAGTTACCACTGTTTCAAACAATGTTTCTCTCTGCTCCATGATAACATTGTAATTTTATTGTATTCGTATCAACTGTAGGATATATTCTGGCTAAATAACAACTTTAAACATACTCGCCTTCCATTTTTAATTCAGCAGAGTGTCTGAGGATGCCTAACTTGCTGTATTTGCCATCATACCTAAGTCAAATATGCCTCCATCATATTTGGGTGTTTTTTGGGTTTTTTTACATATATGATCACATAAATGATCAAAATGAGTAAATGAAAGGAAAACTTACCCCTAAAATTATGCAGACACTCTGCCATTGCTTGAGTTCTTCCTAGAACACACACACGCACGATTTACATATGTAGTTCCACTTCTCTTTATTCCTTATGAAGTATATTCAGTTCCACTTGCAGGTGAAGAGGCCTCGCCCCCAGAGCGCTGCGGACATCTCACCTGAGAACAGCCTGACATATCTGCCCTGCCCCACGGCAGACCCCGCACTGCCCATCGTGAGGCCCTGGGGACACGCCCTGGGCGAGCACACCGCCTTGTTCCTGCGTCTCTGCTCGTAGCACCACAGACAGTCCACACCAAGGGCTCACGGACCCTCGACGTCTCATGCCCTTGAGTAGCTCCCGGGGGATGCTATTGGCTCGGCTGTTAAGATTCCCCTCTGCTGTTCCCTGTCGCCGGCCACGCAACCGAGAAATTCTGTGCAAGTGGTTTTGTGGAATTTGGAGAAGGTCTGAGGCGCGCTCCATGGGGGGCAGGTGCAGTAAGCGCCGATGCAGACACTCTGACACTGAGGCCGCTCTGGGGACAGGGCCGTGAGGGCCACCTGGCCCGGCACGCCATCTTATGCCTTCTCTTTCCTGTGGCTGCTTTTGAAAGTCCTTCCCATGAAAATTTTATAAAAGTGTTAGTCTATTTTTCTGATACTTTTATGCTTTTAATTTTTACGTTGTTTTTAAAAAATTAATTTAACTATTGTTAGGTCTTGTGCTAGTTTGCTGTTGCTGCTGTGACAAGTTATCGCGCACGCAGTGGCTTCATCACGCCTGTTTCTTATCTTACCGTTCTGGGGTCAGGCGTGCTGTGTGGGTCTGGCTGGACTGAGGTCAAGCCATCAGCAGGCTGCGTACCTCCCGGGGGCTCAAGGGGAGATGTTTCCTTCTCATCCGGATCACTGGCAGAATCCAGCTCTTCGCAGTAGTAGGACTGGGTTATTATTATTATTAATTTTTGCTGGCTGTGAGCTGAGAGTCATTCCAGCTTCCAGAGGTTGCCGCGTTCCTTGGCCTGTGGCCCCTTCATACTCCTTCGAAGCTGCCATGATGGACTGAGTCCTCCTCACACAGCATCTCCCTCACTCACTCTTCTGCCCCTTCTTGCTCCATTTCTGAGAAATCGTGTGATGGTCTTGGTTCCACCTGGATGGTCGCCCCATCACAGTGCCAGCTGATCGGCAACCTCAATTCCAGCTGCAGCTTTAATTCCCTTTCCGCCACGTAACCTGACGTGTTCATGGGTTTCAGGGGTCAGGATGTGGACACCCTTGGCTGGGCCATTATTTCACCCACCACAACTGTGCGCCACCCCCCCCCCCCCCCCCCACCGTTCTGGGCACAGCTCTAGGTACTGGCTGTGGATGCGACAGCAGAGACCAAGTCAGGGCACCTGCCTCACGGGGTTTACGTCTCAGGGTGTGTCCAGTCCTGGTGCTGTGGAGGTTGGAGAAGGGTGAAGACTCCTTGCTGCCCGTGGTGTCCAGAGGTGGGGTCAGTGTTCCCTCCCCCACGTCTGGGTGGGCACTGGGCCTCTGAAACCACAGAACAGGACAGAAGTTCCTTCCGGGCCCAGCTCTTAGCAGACAGGCAGCTTCCTGGCTCTTGTGTGAGGAGACGACCACGACGTGAGGAATCCCAAGCTGCCACGTGGAGAGGCCCATGCAGGAGGGACCCGGGGCTCTGGCTGAAGCCCTGGCTGTTCCAGCACCAGCTCACCAACATGCACCGCGTTTGAGCGAACCCCCACGGGCAGTAGTACTGACTTCCCACTTGTCTTGGCATCTCCAGAGCCTGGTCAAAGGCCCATAAGTGTTCAGATATTTGTTCAGTTTAGCCAACAGGTACATTTCCTCGGCCAGCAGGTCCCTGACACAGTTAAAGGGAATTCCTCAGCTGGAGCTTCCTGGGGAAGGATAGCCCACTATCTGAGCCCTTCTCCAATTCCTGACCCACAAATCCCCGATCAAAATGAAATGGTTGTTTCAAACGACTTAACTCTGGGGTAGTTTGTTGTGTAACAATAGAGAACCAGAACAAGCGTTTAATCAGACTAATATTTATCTGCATTTTGGTAGGAAGTGGCGAGCTAGAGATGCAGAAGTAAATTTTTCATTAAAGTTAATTATCCTAGCCCGATTCAGTGGGTAGAAGATCCTCTCTCTGCTGCTTTTACAGACGGGATGTGCACTGCTCAGAGGTTTGTGGGGCTGTTTTTGACACGTTCACATGCATTCACTTATTGTGTGTATTTCTGAAGGTCCTGTTGAGGTCACTCTTGCCCAGGAAACTGTCTCTGTGTCCTCCGTCCGGACTCACCGCGTCCTCTTCGTGGTCCGCGCACCTGTCACAGGCCTGACACTGTCACGGCACCGATCTCGTGGGACCCCGATGATCATTTCAAGTCCTGTCTCCATTCCACTGACCCCATCAGAGGCAGCAAGTATTTCTTATCGGTCTCGGCAGCTCCAGCACGGAGGACAGAGGTTTGCATGCGGTAGATGCTCAAATATTTGTTAAGTTGAACCAAAGTGTACATTGTCTAGGCCAGTCGATCCCAGGCTTCTGTGCGTTTTTGAATAAGTAAAACATAAAAGGTGGGGAAATGGAATATGTTGCCAATTTTTTACTTTTCAAAGTAAGATTAATAGAAAGAACCCACAAAACAGCCTTGAAAAATCTGCCGTAATTAACGTTACGTCACACAGCAGCATCCGTGTGAACTCGAGCATCTGGGGAGGCTCTGCTCTGAGGATGAAGGACCTTCGTTTAAACGGGGTGCATTTTGACTTACGGGAGGCCCATTCCATTGTCGGAAAAGGGGTGCTTTGTAGCAGCTGTCTGGGCCATGTCCTGCTAGAGCAAACAAGGAGCTGAGTTATTTCTGGAGTGAAAGTGCCAAGGGAGAGGTTGTGGAGGGAGATGGGCCTAGGGAGAGGGAGGTTCAGAAGAGGTGAGCAGGGAGCCGGGACGTTCTGGGAGAGCACAGAGATTCTGGGGGAGGGTGGGAACCACACAGCCAGTGCAGGGCGAGCGGGAGCCCAGAACAATGATAATCAGAGAGCGGAGGTTTTGAGTTCATGACTGGAAGCACGGCAGCGCCTGGCAATGTCAACGTCTTGGATGTCAGCTGTAGCCAGATGGGCACGTCCCACCACGTGCCATGGAGCCTCTCGATCTCTCTGGATTGGGAAACAAGCCATATCGGCTTTTACTGGCATGTTTTCTCCAGACACCCAACTGGGTTTGCCGTAACATGTGGTCATTTTCTCCTCCTTCCCCTGATAAATCTGTCTCCACCAGTGTTCTTGGACTTTGCTTAGACTGCTGGCCAGGGCAGGGCTTTGCACCTGTTCCTGCACAGGGAAGGATGTCATGCATCATCTGACCCCTGTGTGACCCCACACCTGCTCCCGCAGGGTCCCTGAGCGTCTCCATCCCACAGAACAATTCCTTCTCTCCATCTGGTGGCCTGTAGTCTGTCTTTCACGCAGAACCAAGGATCCTGCAGCCCCTCTTGGTCTGCAGTGCTGGGTTAGGATGTGCAAGCCCAGTCGTTTAACGCACCGAAACAAGACACACGGGACTCCCCAAGCAAGGGGTGTCTCCCAGACCTCAATGCACAGGGCCCTTTCTTCTCCTGGTGCTGACCTGGGATCTGCTGGTAGTCCTGTGGTGTGTGATGTGGAGAGAAATTCACGAGGCATTCGGCACACGTAGAATAAAACATGACGCTCTCTGATTATCATTGTTCTGGGCTCCCGCTCGCCCTGCACTGGCTGTGTGGTTCCCACCCTCCCCCAGAATCTCTGTGCTCTCCCAGAACGTCCCGGCTCCCTGCTCATTCTCATGGAGCAATGGCTCAGGTTCGTGTGTGCTTTAGAATACAATTTCGCTGGATCTCTGCTAACAACTTTGTGGGGATCATAGTTGCCATATAACAGGAAGAAAACGAGGTGCTGCTAATTTAATCAAGTTCAAAGGCTAATGAAAGAGTACGCGTGCCCAGCCAAGGCCGGGGCCACGACCCCTTAGTATGAGGAAAAGGATCTGTTCGCCTCATGGAAACTGTGGGGTTTTCCTCGCCACCCTGTCATGGGTCCCGCCTATCAAGATGCAGTAAAATTCATTCACACAGTCAATAAGCAATTGTGTGATTGTTATTCAGATGCTCCTTTATCTATTTGTTCATAAGACATTAAAGGGAAGAAATTTACTTTGTGCTTAAAATGCATTATTTAAATGTTGGTATTTCATTATTTTATACATACTCTGATGCTATTTACTAGGCGAAAGTTGAACTGGAGTCATTATTTTCTGTTAAATATTAAGGGTCCCTGCTAAAAAGAAAAACTGGGCTTTTCCTCATCCTTTCCCCAGAAAAAGATAATGTGACTGAGAGAATCACTCTCAAAGAGAAAAAACATCCAGGCCTCTGAGATTGTGGCAGTGTTTTGGGAAGGTATGCTTTTAGAAAAGGTAGTTTTTATAATTAAATAGTGCACTTTGCATGACCAAAGAAGGAATAATGAATTCAAGCCAATTATGAGCACTAAGTAATAATCTAAACAGAATTTCCTTTCCAGAATGGAAAGGCAGTGTGTAACGCGCTGACATCACCTCGTCCCACGACACACCGTTATCTACAATCTCAGGGAAAAAAGAGGTACAGAAAAATAGACTGGCGAAAACACAAGTTGGACATGGTTGTAAATACCAGACTTTGTTTAGCTCACCTGTAATAATTGTGTAGTAGGTAGAAAGGTTTTAAAATGCAACGGAATGGCTATCTGAATGCAGGTTTTCTGAAACTTTATTGGATTGAGGAGAAATTAGGAAATATTTTGGAGGCAGGGAACATCTCACATGAGAAGGTGAAACCCAGAAGGAGACGGTAGAATCATGGAGATGTGGCTGTATTTCTGAAAATCTGTGGGTTTAGTGCTTGCTGCTGCAGGTTTGTGAGCCCCAGTAACTCCCCAGATAAAATAGGGCAGCTGCCCCCATGAACACTGACTTTGTACGTTCAGATCTGGTATGACTGCTGACCTCAGAAGCAAGACGGTCTTGTAGAGATGCAGAGTTATGTGGACTGAGTTCCACGAGGATGGCAATCAATGGTAACTTCTTTTTTCCAACACAAAAGGGAACCTGGTTCTTTGTGCGGCTCCACTCGCATCTGTAGTGAGATAACATCAGACTCCCAGGAGGTTTTCTCGAGAAAGATAGAATCGCCAGTCTGTTTATACGGAGTTGTGCAGAGCGTGGTATACACAGCTGAACTGCTGGCATCTGACAGGGGAATTTCAGAGGGATGTGGGGGAGAAGAAGGAAGTGAGATGAACCAGCCCGGGCAGGGCAGACGCGGGGGAAGACTAGATTTATGAGCTGAGAATCAATTAAGAATCTGCCAGATGGTACCCAATGTATATCTTGTTCCCTAATCGCCCTGTGAAATCTTAACATCCTTTTTTCCGTTACTCCTGATGTCTTGTAAAGTTGGATCTTTAATAATAAGGAAGTGATAAAGTAGGAAATGCAGCCTGACATAGACAAGAGTTGAGAACATAGGAGAATCAACCGTTTATACACCATATTTGCTGAATGAATTATTTATTCCCTGGAGTACTTGAGTTTGGTGCTTTCACCTAGAAAAGACAGCGAAAGGTGGACACCGTGCAACAGTTAGACAAAATAAACAAACCAGTCCAGAGACTAAGGCTCAGGGTGCTTGATCAGACAAGACTGGTTTTGCCCTGAATAGAGGACAACGGGTCATTAATCTTATGTGTTTATCCAAACTTTCATCCAGACATTTACGAAATCAACACTACGTGTTAGGAAATACATGAGCGTGTTAGGCAAGCACACAGGTCCTGCCACCGAGATGCTTACAGGTTAGTGAGGATCCGGAGACGAGGCACCCAGGATGCAGGATGGTACAGGCGTGCTGTCAATCAGCACAGGGCGAGGGTCTGGAGGCCTCCCAGACGGCTGGGCAGCCTGATGCCCGATCTCCAGGACAGTGTCAGAGCCTTTCCCAGAGGAGAGGACAGGAAAGGTAGAGAGAGGAAGCGATGGTGTGTTCTGGAACATGCCAAGACCAAAGGTCAATCCTTTAAGCTGGGGGCATGACAAAGGAGAGAAACCTGCTCCCTAATTCATGAGCCACTTTATGGCTCAGGGGCTCCTGCAGATGCGGGCTTTTCCCCGACGTGAACTGTTTCTTTTTAAGAGCAGACTCTGTTCTGGCCTCACAAGGAGTTTTCAAATGCTGCTCTTTCCCACTGTCCTGACATTTTTCTTCCTCCTTGGCCGTAACCTTCCATGGCGATTCCTCCGATCTCCTTGCCCTGGTGCGCCAATGATTAGCTTCAGGCCTCTAGCTGCTGGCCTCGAGGCCTCCGGCCAACAGCACATCTCAGTGTCTGCAAAAGGCCCTGGGACTCTCAGGCCGGCCACTCTGGAGCACATGAGAGAAAACGTCTGTTCTCTTTCGATTACTGCTCCTTTCCAGATCGCTGACCCCAGTGAAATCTGACCTGAGTGTTCTCAAATCCATGCTGCCGGGGGACAGAGCTGCCACGGCACAGTGCTGCAAACTTGGCTTAAGACCCAGCTGGAGAACTGGGTTCAACCTGCCTGGAGGTCCTTCATCACCACATGCGTCATCCTTCCTGCAGTGGTCTGACATCTCGCCATTCAGGGCAGGCTGGACCCAAAAGGGAAAATGGAAAATACATTTTATGATCAGATAACACATTTTTGGAGTGGCTACTTTAAACATTTTGTATAAAGACTCACATACTGGAGTATTTTTAGAAGAGTTGTTTTTCTTACTTATCATACTGATTTCCTGGGGGAAAGAAACATATTTTAAAACAGGAAAATATTCTTTTAATAAAGAGCGACTCTAAATTTTCCCTCAAGAGTAAAATAACTTAATGTCTGCCCCTCACCGTATGTGGGGGCCTTCTGGGAGGATCCTCCCAGGCTAAGAAATTCTGGGAACTTCCCGTCTTAATCACAGGACTGGTCCCCTGGCTGATGAAACCCAGCCTGCCTCTCTCCCCTGGGCCACAGCCAACTGGATGAGCCACGAGCATCTGACCTAAGTGAGCCCATCAGATCGTTAGTCCTGGAAATTGGGGAATGAGACTCAGCTGGTAAGGAAGTGGGAGGTGTGGTGTGGCTGTAATCTACCACACGGACCAAAGAAGGAAAAGCCAGGCTTGCTTGTGGAGAGAAGAACAGAGTGGTCATCGCAGGGAGACCCCATGCACCCCTCCTCTGCGTCTCACGAATCGCCTGTAGCTTTACAACAAATGGTCCAACTTTGTCTTCTCCCAGGACAAGTGGGATGCTATTCTAATGACCAGATGGCCCTGCCTGATACACCTATTACATTTTTGGGTAAATATTGGATGTCCGAAATTCACAGACAAGTTCCTATGGGCTGGAGTTTGGGTTCACTGTTGACAAAACCTGGAATCCCCACTCCAGCTCTCTTATCAGCACCTGGAGCTTTCTCTCCTTCATTTCTGAGGAAGTGGAACCGAGTGACACACAGGGGGAGAGTCTCCTGGCCTCGTGTGCCAACATCAGGAGGGCTCCAACCTCAATCCCCCATTTGGGGATGGGGTGCGGGGTGGTCCTTATGTTGTCTCTCCCTGCCTTTCCCTCTCTGGAGAGTAAAAAATATAAAACTGGATCATTTCTCTCTTTGCAGTTCAGAAGATCTTAGATGTTTGAAGGACGTCCGTGGAGCTTTTGGAAATGAAGGCTGCCCACTCGCTTGGTCCCGCATTTCTCTACTGCTGAGCCTCCAACCCAAGGACCTCCTCTGACTTTAATCGCCAATTCGAGAAACACTGTCTTCGCTGAAGTCTTTCGCGTGGAAACTTTAGAGCTGTAAAATCTTAGGGATTAGATGCATTGGCCTCTGTGTTTTAGATGAAGAAGCCAACCCTTTGAAAGGATAAGTCAATTTGCTAAGTTACAGAACTAATTAAAAGCAGATTTTGGGACTAAAACTCAATTTTCCCAACTTGCAGTCCAAACACTCTCCTTGGTCTTAACTATTTGAAATTACTTTTTAATCGTGTATCTTCATCTTTGCTAGAATGCCTCTTTCCAGCTCATGCTGAATCGTGCCCTGAAGCCGTGTGCTCCACTGGACTGCTGTGTATCTTTAGGGCAGCTTAGGATCAAAGCCCTTTCTGGTGATATAAACCCACAGTTTTCAGAAGTTTCTCTCCAACTCAGCCATAAGCAATTTCTTTCTCCTGGACTGTAGTAAATAATTAAAATTTCCCTGTTCCTTTTATCTTTTCTTTCCTTCTCTCTGATCTAAAGGAAAACAGAGGATATTACATCTAATCATGACCGGAAGCGAAAGCATTTCCGCATTAGCAATGCGAATCCCTGGATTTGTCTCATCAGAAGAAATTGTCCCAACCTTTACTTTTTGTGTATGTATTTGTCTTTTGTTGGTTTGGCAAAGCTTGTGCTTGTTACGACACTTGATAAAGTACTCCATTTGGACTCGGGCTGTTCCCCCAAAATGCCATGTTGTTTCAAATGCTACTGAGATCCAGGATCCTGGGGAATTTCCACGAACTGTTGAGCCAAATTAGTAGACTAATGCGGAAACAAGTAATTGGTGGCCCACTTGTACTGTGCTTCCCCAGACACAGCGACTTACAGACTCAGGAGACGTCTGCCTTCTGTCAGGACCCAGCATCACTTCCACCTGGTGGGTGCCAGCTCCCGGGTGACCAGAGGGCTCTTCCCTCTCCCCTCCCTGGTCTTCCTTCCTTCACCGAAAGACTCCTGGAAACACCACGTCAGGAAATGTGTGTGTGAGAGCCTATGAGCATGCGCATGTGTGCCTGTGAGTACATGCATGTGCATGCCTACAAGCTTGAGTGTGCAAATATGTATGTGTGTGCTTGTGAGTATGAGTTTGAGAGTGTGTTTGTGTGAGTCTGTGCATGTGTGTGAGCATATGCCTTGTGAGCACATGCGTGTGACTGTGTGCATGTGTGAGTGTGAGTGCATGAGTGTGTACATGTATGTATATGACCACGTGTGTGTGTGTGTGTGTGTGTTTTGGGGATGCTGGTATGAGAACTGACTTACAGATCACTGAGAGGGGATAGATCATCATAAAATAGGCCTAAACAGATTGAAGAACTTAATTAATTAATTCATTTGTGAGGAATATTGGCCCTGAGCCAACATCTGTTGCCAATCTTCCTCTTTTTGCTTGAGGAAGATCGTTGCTGAGCTAACATCCATGCCAATCTTCCTCTATTTTATGTGGGACTCCACCACTGTGTGGCTTGACAAGTGGTGCTAGGTCCGTGCCCAGGATCTGAACCTGTGAACCCCGGGCCACCAAAGCTGAGCATGTGAACTTAACCACTACACCACCAGCCAGCCCCAAGAACTTAATTTATGATATCAGCAGCATCTGCACTACTGTCGGAAAGAGTGAACTGCTGAAAAAATGGTGTTTCCATTTTTCTATATTCTACACTGCTTGTGTGCAGTTAGAATATTGTCTCTGCCATCCTCCAAGATGGTCTCCAGAGAAGCTGAGTTGTGTGTAAAAATCTGAATCAGCAATTTACGGATTGGAGATGGTAGATCAAAAATACACATCATCTCACATCTCATTCTCTTGTGAAAACTCCACCAAAATCTAAGATAAGGGAATTTTGTTAGAAAAGCAAATAAATCCACAGGAGGGGATAAAATAGCAATAGAGTTCTGGACGGTGGAGACAGGCTGATGAGTGGTGCCTGATTTAGCAGATACAAAAGAACCGCACGGCAGCAGAGCGGACAGCAGGGAGCAGCCTGAGTCGTGCTACAGAATCTCAACCCCCGGACATCGCAGCCCAGCCAGCTCTGGGATCGGGGCTAAGGGTGGGGCTGAAACAAGCAGGATGGTGAGCACTGTTGGAAAGGAGATTCAAGGGCTCTCTGGGTGCCATCCTCCACCCCCTGCTTTTGGGCACGAGCCCTGACCTCATGGGAGCAGATGAGAGCGGAAGATGCCTCTAGAGAGGTGAAGATGCAGGTATCAGGTGCTCCCCAACGATTGGCTCAACCAGGTAACCCCCAACGATGGGCAGAGGTGACAAGGACCGCTCATCTCCTCTGAGCTTCCCGTCAGCCTTTACTGGCCCTACTTCACGTGACCAGACCACCAGGTGGAATGGACCCGTAATGGAAGCCCTGGGCATGAGAGATGAAACCCAAAAACACAAGTGGAAAAACCCCACCTGGAAGGAGCAGAAATTAGGCTGACAGAGCAAAGGAGCTCTGTCATGAACGTCTTCAGAGAGATAAGAAGTTGCTGTACCCCTGAACCAAGAGCAGGGCTCCACAGAAAAGGAACAGTCAGAAAAAAGAACTCAGGAAAAACATAGTTTTTGATGGCTAGCAGAAATTAAAAATTCACTGGAAGATTTGAAAGATAAAAAACAAATCACAGGAACTTGGAACAAAGGAGAGAAAATATTAGAATATTTTGAGATCAGCCTGGAAGTTTCAACATCCAAATAAAAGCAGGTATAGAAGGGGAAAATAAAGAAAAGGGAAAAATTAACAATCAAGGAATTCAAGAAGATTTCCCAGGCCACTGAGCCACGCATTGCCAGATGCAGAGATCTTGCCAAGAGCCCGGCACGGTGGATGGAGGCAGCCATAGCAGGGCGCATAGGGGAAACGTCGGAGCTTGCAGCCACAGGAAGATGCTCGAGGTTTCAGAGAAAAAGACAGGTGCATGCCAAGGCTTTGTACTTCTCAAAAGAAACACCCAGAAGGCAGAAGACGATGGGAAAGACCTTCAGGCTTCTGAAGGAAATCAATTTCTAACAGGAAATTCCCCACCCAGTGAAATTATCCATCAGGAGCCAGGATAGAAGAAAAACCTTTTTAGACATGCAAGGTCTTAAAAACGCTGCTGCCCACACACCGTTTCTCAGGAAGAGAGTGGATGATGATCTCCAATGAAATGAAAGAGTAAACCAAAGAATAAGATGCTTGGGAGAGAGAGTGAGATTACAAAGGAGAGGTGTGTGGGGGACCCCAGATGACAGCTGGGCACCCCCGTCCAGATCCCTGTAGCCCTGGCTGCACCCATCTCACCTCGGGATGCAGCTCTGGCCACAACTTTATCTGGTCTGCTTGACGGGCTGGGGAGGTCCTGCTCTCTCCCACAGCCAGTGCCCTGGATCAGCAGAGGACAGTCACTCATCCTAAAAGGCCATCTGCTTAGACCCACAGCTCAAGGAAGGCAGAGGACACAGCTTCCTGCTGGGCATCCCGAGCCAGGTCCTAAAACAGCCTCGCAAATGCTCAAAGCCGAGAGGCCTGGCCCACTGTCGCCCTCATGGCTGCCCTTGTGCATCTCAGGATAGCCGAGGCCATCACAGCCCAGAGACCCTTGACCTCCCTGCCAGCTTCCGGTGGGAGGGTGCCATCCCCATCTGCGCATGGCCAGCATGTGCTGGCGCTCGTCTTCCTACAGCTAAACTGGACACACACAAGCGCACGTGTATTTGAAGATATATAGACACACAGACACACATGTAGATTTTAGGAGACGTGCAAACACACACACGTGTATCCTATATATGTATCCACTAATATACATCTATCCACTATGTATGTACACTAATATAGACAGATTCATACATACATATATGCAAAAGTGGTAAATTGATAAAGAAAAGTGATGACTAAGACACGTGCCCAGCTAGTGACGACCTCTGGGGATGAGATGGAAGATTTGATCGCAGAAGGGCAACCTGGGTAAGTTTAAATTAATAATTAATTACAAAATAATGCTTGAAAATCCTTCTTAAAAACTTAGAACCTGGGGCCGGCCCCGTGGCCGAGTGGTTAAGTTCGCGCGCTCCACTGCGGTGGCCCAGGATTTCGCTGGTTTGGATCCTGGGCGTGGACATGACACCACTCGTCAGGCCATGTTGAGGCTGCGTCCCACATGCCACATCTAGAAGGTCCTGCAACTAAGATATACAACTATGTACCAGGGGGGATTTGGGGAGATAAAACAGAAAAGAAAAAAAAAAGATTGGCAACAATTATTAGCTCAGGTGCCAATCTTTAGGGAAAAACAAAACAAAACAAAACTTAGAACCTTACAAATAAGTTCCAATAACAGATTCCTCCCCCACATCCTTCTCCTCCTCCTGAATCTGGTGTGGGTTTTTTCAGATCATTTCAAATATGGAGATATTTATATATATACCTGGGCATTATTGTTTTGGAACAACAATAAAATGCGACTATGAAGTAAGACACTGACCTGTTTGTTGTAAGATGTCCTCTTAGGTTGTAAACGTAAGAATTTATCTCTCAGAAAGGAACAGCCCCCTGCAGTAATGCGGTCCCGGCAAATACTCACCAGGATATTCTGTACTGCAGTTGAAATTCTTTATTATGGTTATACATCAACGGTGTATTGTTTTAATAGTTAGAATGTAGCCTTAGTTATCTTTCTGATCATAAGTATGTAATACACTAGGTAGAAAGAAAGAGAAAATCCATATTGACTACTGCATGTGCTGTCTCTGGATTTATTTAATGGCAAAAATATAATGTGAGAGAAAAGGCAGAAGTCTGACAAAGTTCTCATCTGAAATTCTCAAAATCCACGGGCGTTTGATGATTACGGGCTGGAAGGCACTGGCTGCTCGGCTCTGTGCAGGATTAACTTGGATGAATCCTTCGCTGAGGTGGGTGGGCCCGGAGATTTCTCTGGATTCGGCTAACGCTTCTAATTAAACACGCGCCATTTGGAAAAGTAATTTCAGAAGTGTTGCCAGGCATTTTCCGGCTTAGTTTTCAAGCATGATAATTTAAGGAAAATTGGATCCATATGTTTGTGTAACTTAAATTGTAGCCTTGGACGACTTTTTTCAAAATTATTTAACGTGTAAGAGGCTTTATTCCCTAAAAAGAGAAGTCATACTGCTCCATCTGCACGGCTGCCAAGTGAATCTGAATACCCCCAATTCTTGTTTCCGTGGGCATTAGAGGGGGATGGCTGCGGCTTTCAATGAGAACCACTTCCAGCCTGGCCCACTCCACCTCATGTGTCTACACAGCTTGTCCCACGTGGATGTGGTCCTGCATTGGCCACGTAACTGGGTTCATGGGAAGTCCCCCCTCAGTGGGGTTAGGATAAGACGCCTGTGGTGTTCCCAGCGCTGCCTCCCCTCTCTCCATGGGAGCTCCCTTCCCTTCCTGCCCGGGTCATCTGCGAGGGTCCCATGGCTTGTGGTCACATCTGTTTATTAAAACTTAGTTCAGACTGAAGGTCCAGGTTCAGAGTGGTCGTAACCCCACCCCTTTTCTCTCTTCTCAGGCCTGGCTCAGGGGCCCCCATTGTCGGGCCAGAACTGAGGAGAGTGGGGGGGTGATGCTCCAAGGCACCTGCCTCCCCTCCCTCTGGAAGCCTGGCTCAGAGGGCTGGGCTGGGAGGAAGGAGGGTGGGGCGCGGTGTCACTTCAGGTAACGGGGTGTTGCTGTGACCCACTCTGGGACCGTCCTGCTTCTTGGGCCAGCAGTGGCAGGCTGGGTGTGTCCTCTGGGTGGCAGGGCCAGCCTCTGGGCACACACAGGGGCTCTCGGTGGGGCCCTGCCCATCTCTCCACTGTGTGTCTCCCTGGCACAGGGGTCCCTCTTTGCTGTGGCTTCTCAGTCCTTGCCATCACAGACATCTTGCAGCCCTGGGGCTGAGGCCCCTGTCCCTGGAGTCAGCCTCTGGGGGGAGCTACCTGCAATTGCTCCTCCTGGTGGTCTTGGCCATGAACACCGGGTGTTCTTCATGCTAAAAGGGGAGAGCTCTCCAGCCGCCCGTCTCCATGTCCCTGCTCTGATGAGCACAGACGTGAAGTCCCAAGTAGATGTACGAGTAGGCAAGGAGGACTGGTCTCACCTTTATTAACCATCCTGCTCCCTAGGGGTTCTACTTCCC